GCCAGCGTCCCCAGAGCAACACCGTCCCCTGTACATGCTCCCAGGACCCCCAACACCTGCAAAGGCCCGGGGGGTGGGGGGCGCGTGTGCCGGGGACGTGCCTCCTGCGCCCACCTGACACCACGGCCTCCCCCTCCCTACACTCAGTCACAGCCAGGGGCGTCGGGCTGTGGTCACATCCCAGCTCACAGGAGTCCCTGGTCCTGGGCAGCAGGCCCGCGCGGGTCCTGTCTGCCAGGCTGTGGGAGCCTCAGTGCCGAGTCACCTTCTGACCGATGCAGGGGAGCCCTGTGGGGGTGAGGTGGGCTTGACAGTGCGGCCGCACCCCAGTCTAATCTCCAGAGCAGGACGATAAAGCCAGGAGGAAAGATTTGCACTTTCTAACTGCTAATTGGACAGGTGAGCGGAGTAAACAAAATACATAATAATGAGCCGCGGCCACTTGGGAATCTGCAGGATTAGCGGCGCCCTGCTGTGCCGCCCCGTCCGGGCCTTGGGCGCTTTATCAGCAGCGCAGGCAGCTGTCGCGGAAGGGAAGCCAGCTTTGCCAGCGCCGGTGAGAAGCCGGCAGCTTTCCCCTTTCCTGCACGGCCGAGGGAGAGCCCCACACCTATGCAGACACCTGCTGCTTGCTCCGCGGTGGACGCGGCGGGGCCGCATTTGCTGCGCCTGTCGGGTTCCGGAGGGCGCCGGCGGGCTTTCCGCAGCCCCGCGCGAGAGATCGGGGTGCTGATGGTGGATACCAGCGGCCCAGGCCCGACTTGGCCCTGCCGGCGGCGGGGCTGCCTCCGTGCAGACTCACTCCTTGGCCACCGGGCAGTCGGCCCTCCTCGCGGGATTTAACAAAACCCAAAAAGGGGGGCGGGGGGGCGTCCTAGCCGCGGGACAAAGGAGGAAACATCCACTTATGGTCAAGAATACATAAAAAAAACCGGCTGCAGATCATAAAGAAAAAAGGCAAAACACGATAGAAAGCAGACCACGCAGTCCAGGGGAGCCTGAGCGGGGAAGCCGCCCTGTTCGCACACCTCGATGGACCGCGCAGTGCCGTGGCGTCTGCTCTCTGCCCTGGCTAGGGTGCACCCCCTTGGGGTACTGTTTCACGGCAGTTCCTTTTGCTCGTTTTCTTTCCTTTCTGCGCCTTATTCAAGAAAGCCTTCTCAAGCTCTTCCATCTCAAGTTCTTTGACTTTAGGGAATCTCTCTTTTTCTCTTCTTTTAATAAAATTCCATCCTCCCCAGCCAACCCATCCCCTCCCCACATGTGGTTGAATCCTGCTTTTCAGCTTTCACATACATATGAAAAATCTAAAAAGATTTATATAGTTTTGCATACAGAACTGGAGTGCAGGCCAGAGGTGCTGTACAGGGAGGTGAGAGATTCCCCAGAGACAGAGCCGGGAGCAGGACAGGAGGAATGAAACCCACTGCCGAGGGGAGCAGCGGGGAGACAGGAGGGGTCTGCTGTGCCCTGGGTCCCTCCCCGCCAGAGATGGAACTTGTGCTATGCTTTGACATGTTGCACCCCCAGGGAATGCTCAGAAAAAATAATTATTAACACAACAATAATAAATAAAAACAAAATCTAGTTAGCAGGCAACTAGAAGTCAGAGCCATTCTGCAAGGGAGGGGGAGCCAGAAGCTTCGTACCGGGAGGGACGGCTCAGGGCCTGTAGCGAGGGTGGGTGACCTGGTGTGGGGTCTGCGGGGCCCCGCGGGCAGGAGGAAGCTCACAAGCGTGCGCTGCGCAAGCGTGATCGCGTGAGGTCCGTGAACGTTCACATAGTGAATGTGCATGTGAAAAACAACAACCTGGGGCCCGAGAAAAGGGACATGGAGGCCAAACACAGACCGACTTCACCCAAAGTCCTGCCAAGAGGTCCGCAGCCCCTCTGGGATTTGAACCCAGACCTCTGGCCAGTCTGGCCTGCACCCTAATCTCAGGGGTAAGCAAAGGCCTTATCTGACCGGGGCCTAGGGAGCAGCCGGCTAATCCCGACCCTCCAATCCACAGCCGCCGAGCTCCTATCAAGCACTAGACTGGGGGCCGGGGAGACAGGGCCCCACGGCAGGCCTCACCCCAGTAAACAAAGTCGGGTGTGTCTGGACCACTATGCTCCTCCAGCTCTCCCTCCCTGGGGTGGGGACCCCTCCCTGGGGACCGGGCAGCTGCAGGCCACCATCCCCCGCCTCTGGGGTTGGAGAAAGCCCCAACGGTGACCCTCACTGCATTGCCGTGATCCGTGTGCCCCCACCCTTGGGCACGAGCATGAGCCACCCCCAGAACGCTGGCCACCCTGCTGCAGGGCCCAGGTAGAGCGACCAGGCTGACAAGAGGCAAAGAGCTGATCAGGGACCCTGGTCAGGGGCCTGAGAGAAAGCCTGTCTGAGACCCCAGTCAGCGTTGCTGGCCCCCCACACAGCCGGCTCCCTCCCCGTCT